AAGGTCTTGATGCACTGCCAGCATTTGAGCAACTGAGCACCCAGCAGATTGGTACTGATGGTGCCCACAGCTATAGGAAAGTCCTTAGTTTTAGCGTGGGGGGGATGACACTGCATAGCCTGATGAGGAACGATGGCCCAGAACCAGGACTCATGGAGGTGGAACCAGGTGAAGACACCTGGATGTCCTGGCTGCAGCAATGTCGCCCCCTGCTGGCTGTGTTCCAGCTCAGTGTGATTACATTCATCCTGTCATCTTCTGGAGAACACGCGTGACAGAAAACATCACCTGTTGTGTCCTGTGGATCCTCCTGTGACTTTGTCCCAGTTTAACCGGAAACTGAAACCAGGTAATGTTGAGTCTGAGGAACCAGAACCATTAGTGTCCAGACAGCCACAGAAGGCTCCGTCTGGTCTCACTGGTTCTCCTGCACGGTTCACTGTTGCTGACTGATGGCCTCAGTTTGGAGATCAAACTGGATTTATTCATGATAACAACCCCCTGCTCATCTTCCTCCTGCTCCTCCTCCTCTTTTCTGCTGTGCCAGCACCAGCAGGCCTGATGGAGGGGGTTCAAGAGGACCCTCCTGGACTTGCTGTGGTCTGACTAGTACTGGACTCAGCAGTGTCTTTGTAAATGTGTGACAGCCGCTCCAGGGGCCTCGTTTATCATCGGTGTGTACAAAAGGTTCTAAATTCTGTGTACGCATGAAATGTAGAGTGTGTGTAAGTACAAAAAAGTCTGTATTGACCAAATGTGCGTACGGGGGTCGTAGCGCATCAGTGTTGGTTAACCTCCGTGCTCGTGCACGTTGCCTTCAGGAACGCCTCCACATCCCCGCGTACGGCAACAACACGCCTCTTTATAAAACAAGTGAAGATTTATTTTCTTAACCTGTCATCGTGGCAAAAAGGGCGACAAAGAGGAACTTTTCTGAAACTGAGATCGAGGTACTCGTCAGCGAGGTTGAAGGAAACCAGAAACTATTGTTTGGTGCATTAATGTTGGGATGAGCAGTGAAAGAAAAAAACGCTGCCTGGGACAAGATAACCACCACAGTTATTCCTGTTGGTCAGAGGACAGATCGCCGGCAGACTTGGTGGTTTGATGTTAAGCTCAGCGCCAAAAAACGCATCACAGCCCATGAAAGAGAACTGATGCAACTGGAGGAGGATGAGTTCATGCCAACGTCCACCCAGTGGATAACCCTGATCACTGCAGATGACATGTTTAATAACCAGACTAAGTCCAGCTGAAACATCTCCACTCTGTGACACTCACCAATAAGCCAGCCGTCCTCAGCAGCTCCTGCTTGGAGACCCACAGAACTGTTCTGCTCAATGAATGAGTCGTGTTCCTCCAGGCCGCTGGCAACAACGTTGGATAGTCACAAATGTGCAGCGTAGATTATCTGGATGTTGGTTGAATGAAACCCTTGTTTATAAGATAAGATCAGCCTTTGTTTATCTCACAGTGGAGAAATTTGCATTGTTGTTTGCAGCATTACACATAGAGATACACACATACTCGACAGAAAAATGTACTTATAAATATGAGAGATAGTGCAAACAAGTATAAAAGTACACATAAAAGAGAATAGTGCAAACAGAATGAGAATGGGCTTCTGAATGAGGGTACATAAAAAAGATATATATTATTTTTTCAAAATGAAGCTCGTTCAGTGATGCTGCTTTGAATGCAATGTGGGTGCAGTCTGTGGCTCCACTTATGTTTGGGAATCCAGCGACGGCGTTAAGTCCCTCTTTGATTTAGGCTCATCGATGGTGGCTGTAAGGGAACTGGATGTAGGC